GGGGGGGTGCACCTGGCGGCATATTTAAAGTTAGCAACCGCAACACCGTTGGCTATTCATGTGCATTGTTCATGCCTGTCAAGCGTAATTAGAATATATAATGTGAGCGTGGGACCCAAGGGGTGGGGTGGGGTGGGGGCACGGGGTCAGACACTGGTCAGCACACAGCGCAACAGTACACAGCTCTAATAGATTAGCATCCAGCTATTAAGTAAAAGGAAAACTCGATTTAAATGAAACAAAGCATAACATCAATGTACTTAAAGCATCAGTAAAGGCAGCAAATCCACATTTTATCGATTCCCGCCTGGCCACTCAGATATATTTAGTGTTGGTAATGGCAAATTTGCTTAACTTCTATTTAATAATATGGAGATTTTAAAGCATGCTTGGGTACGGGCTCGAATGGGCGGCGGGCGGAAGCCAGTGTCATGCTGCAGATAAAGCTGGCATCTACAGACAGCCAATCGGGACGCGGGATAAGAATGATGCGCGTAAACGCAGGAGCCAGCAGCTCAATCTTCTAGGCAAGACATAAAACATGAAGCTGCTACATCAGACTAAACTAACAAATCATATTTGAGGAATAACATCACGACTGAACAGGGAACAGCGGTTTGGTTAGTGTCCTTTAAAGCTGTCACATTATCTAATTGTTACCCTTTACGATCAGTGACCATTAACAAGCACATTCCTCCATCCATTCTGAGCACAGGAATTACAGTAACTGTAGTTTAAGGTCCAACAACCTTGCATTTGGATCCTACTGGAACTGTTTATAAACAGCTGGAAATAAAACTGCGGCGATTTCAAACTGGAACGGCGGGTGATTTTACGGCGCTCCAGGCTGGGGGCGAGGTCCATCAGAGGAACCTCTGTCTCCCCATCACGGCACGTATCATTCAGGGTCCAGCGGCCCTAAGTGCCGAAGACGCTCTCTTTAGATGGATAATGATTTCCTGTCTAAAAATAAATTAAGCGATATGCAAGAGAGGGTAAAATGGAGCAGGGGTTAGATAGAAAATTTCATTTTCGCGAGCTGTGATTGACTGGCGGCTCAAGAGGGGAAAAAGAAAAATTTAAGGAGAGTGGGCGCTCCTTGGAAATAATTTGAGCCGTATGTTAGGTTGTCAGGGGAGGATACGACGGCGGGACAGACATAAAGCTGCGTGAAAGCTGCCATCGGCAAGTCACCTCATTATGAGGCATTAGTGCTACAATATTCTCAAAGCAGAGGCTAAAAATCAATGAGAAAAAAACCCGTCGCATTACGAGAGGAGGATGTGTAAAACGGAGAAGGGGACTGCGAGGATCCTCACGGCGACCCACTCTTCGCGGCAGGCCCTGACCTGAGCACCTGTCAAAGGTGCGCTGCAATTAAAATCCCTTTCAGAGACTCGCTGGCTAACGCTAATGGTGGGCTAGAGTCAAACCGCTGACAGATCTGCGATGAAAGGGACCGCGACGGCGGCAGTTTGGTGGGGCCGGGCAGCGTAATGCACGGCTGAACTGTAAATTATACTTATAAAAGACGCTGCGTATCTCACTAATGGCCCCTTATTACAGCACCATGAATTACTGCATCAGGCACAATCTGTCAGCCACAGCACGCTGCGGGTCCTTAAGGAGGGACTTTGGCCAAGGTGGCAGGGTCACGGAGAGGCCGGCCGTGAACTCGGAAAGGATGCAACGTCGGGGCAGTCATGATAGGGGGGGGCTGTCGGGGGTGATGGGGTGCAGGGTCACACCTTCGAGGGGATGGGACGTGACGTCAGGGCAAGGGGTGGGGTCTGTCTGATAGCATGGGAGGGGACATGAGGTGCGGTGCAAACAGAATATCAGCACTCAGTCAATAAAAGAAATCAAAATACAAAAAACCGGCCTCCCTTCGGAGGGCAAAGGCGATCAAGTCGGCAACAAACAGAAACAATCAAACAGGATCTGGTGGCTCCATCAGTATCACCAGTTTCTGCTTGTGGAGAACAGTATACATTTCAGGGATATCTAAAGATCAAAATGGCCGAGCCTGCGTTGGATTCAGCTTTCATATGACAGGTCAGGGCTAATTCTGCCTAAAAGTCACTGGATTGGTATAAACGGGAAGCGCTTCTGGCAGCCATCAGAAACACACCCAGCTAAGCTGCTCGCAGCCACATTAAAGCAGAGTCCAATAACCAAAGACAGAGATTCAGTGTTTGGACTTTCTGGGCAGATTTGCAAGAGGGAACAGTCTTCAGAGGGGTTCTGTTGGTAGGGTGGGGGCCAGGAAGAAATGGGTGTTGTTTCTGGGTCATAAATGCCTGGAGTGCTGGGAAAAGGCCCTGGCAGGCTTTCTGTAAGGAAAAGCCCCTCACCGCTATGGGGCAGCTCTGGGTATCCTGTTAATGACAAAGTACTCTGCTGATAACCTTTAAGGAGTGTGCGGCGTGAGAAGCCAGGACAGGGGCAGGCCAGCAGGGCGGCGACCTGGCAAACACCCGCGTCTATAAAACCTGAAACAGCGAGAGGCTCAGCGACAGCAGGCAGGGGGAGGTCATGGGAAATTGAAGGGGGGGGGGGGAAAGGGGGCTCCACGCCGAAGGGGGGGGGGGGGGGGGGGGGGGGGCAGATCCAACACAGCGACAGGAAGTAAAACCATCCAAACTGCGATCATTCCGGAACATTTCACAATTCCAAAGGATCCACCCTGTCGTGCTCCGAGGCATGGAAGGAATTTGCCATCAAAACTCAAAAGTGAATTTTTACTTTACATCATATACACACCTACACACTACAGAGTACCAGTCAAGGCTGCACACACCCTCTTTTAATGAATTTGTCTGTTTTAGCTGCGGTAATTCAGCTTTTAAGTAAAACGGCCCGAGGCAATGAAATGATAAATAGCAAATACTGCAGTAACCAAGAGAAGCTTACAACATCTCAAAACTTCCTCAAATTTTTGATCTATCAAAATCGACCCCTTTAGCATCGATGACAGCATGGCAGACACTTGGCTTTATTTCAACCAGCTTCCAGATGTAACTACCTGGAATGCTCCTCCAACAGCCCAGAAGGAGTTTCCACAACTTCTGGAAACAAGTGGGCCACCCTGCTCTTACTCTTTGATCCAACTTATCCCAGACTGCTCTATAGGATTTAGGCCGGGGGAATTTTGAGGGCCTGGTCAT